AGCCGGGGATGTTGTTATCATTGAACTTTTAGATGACAAGAACTTTCCCTATCAGATATAAGAAGCAGAGACTAAAATGGAAAGACAAATTAAATTGAAACTTCACTGCAGATTCCCATTTTTAGTTACTATATATAGTATTAGTAGTATACTTTCTTATATCACATTAGTCATGGCAGCACAGTTTAATCTTGTTTCTTAACTCACTCCTAGTGGAAGAGAGTATTAGAATAGTATGCTGAAAAAGTTCTTGCTCAAGTTTCTCGGGAAAAAAAGAAGACAATTTCTTAATTTCACTAACATCATTTTATTCTTGAGAAATATTTAGTGTGGTTATTTATCAGCTTTGAATATTGAATTTGTTTAACAATTTGATTAAGAATCGTGTTCTATTTGAGTTACAAAATTTATATTTGTTGGAGGTTGCTGAAGAATGTCATTTAACAGCTCCTTTCCTAGACAGTTAAATATCATTTTCATTTGTTGGCTTTTCCAAAATTAGGATTATCCCTTACAATGTAACTTTGCAGTACTAGAAGTACTAGTTTTATTAGAATATGAAGAATGACTATTTATTCAATTTTTTGAACTGTAATTAAAATTAAACATTTAAATACAGAACAAAAAAGTGGCTATACCCTGTAATTTTCTGTCTGATCGATTAGCTGGCCACAAAATTTGCACGACGTCTCTCAAAGGTAGAGTAATAATTAGGGGTGTCAATAGTTCGGTTCGGCCGGTTATTTTATAAATTTGTACCATATCAATTTTTCGGTTATTCTATTGTGCATAACCAAAATTAGACTTTTCGAAACCGTCCCAATCATGTGGGTTTCACTTTGGTATCGGTACGGTTCAGTTAATTTTCGGTATTTTTTTAAATATCATATAAAATTCACCAGTAAAAGTAGAATGCAATAACATGCATTCTTTATAGGACTTAGCAAAACTCCCTAGACATTTTTACGGTTTAAAAGGTGATGAATAAAAAAACATGAAAGATGACTAAAGTATAGATACATCAACTATTCGACAACAATGTAAAAAGAAACCAAGTAAAAGCAAAGAAAATATAAATCACACGAGTGGAAAGATATTAACCAAGCTGGGACTCAAGAATAAAGTCTGTATTAAATATTTAAAAAGATAAATCTAAATTATATTAATGGAAACATATTCAATACATTATAGTTTGCTACTCATAATCGATGTAATACTTTGTGTCTTGCTAATAAAGATACTTGAAATAACTTAGTTTAAGTATAAGTAGGATAATAGGTTTTAGGAACTAGTANATAATAGGTTTTAGGAACTAGTATTTTGAGTTTAATTACTTGTTGGCTTGTAACAGTTTTTATAATTCCAAGGCCCAATGAAAAATTTAATGCTTTATTAGTTTTAAGCTTACTATATATATATATATTTCACAGGTAAAATTTATTCGGTACGGTTCGGTATTTTTTTGGTTTATTTTTATAAAATTAAAAACCTACCCTAATTATCGGTACGGTTATAGATTTATATATAAACCTACGGTTTCTTTAAAAGAAACCTAAAAATCGGTTCGATGCGGTACGGTTCGGTCGGTTTAGTCGGTTTTCAAATATCCATTGACACCCCTAGTAATAATAGCATCAACTCTACCAATCCGGTAGATAAATTCTGAAGAGCAAAAACATAACAATTAGGTAGACTTCGATAAACAGTTTAATCCGATAAAAAAAACTGAAGAGTTGTATACGGATCTACTGCTAATTTTAAGAACTCTCGACTAAGATCGGTCCTTACAAGCCATTCCTGTCAATCTCCCTATTATTGATCATTTGACCTCTCTCCAGCTTCCATACTCCAAGAATTCCAAGCTAGATTCACAAAGTCCGAGTAGTTCTTAAAAATTGCACGGGGCGGCCAACGCCCCCATTTAATCTCTATCCATTTTTTAATAAAAGTTTTAACTTGTTCCCATTTTTTAAACAACTTCAGGCCTCTTTCTCCTCCTCCTTCTTCTCCTTCGTTTTCTTCTTCTCCTTCTTCATCTTCTTCTCCTCCTTCTTTTCTTTTTCTTCTTCTTCGGGTGACAATGATTTATATGGTGATTGTGTACATATTTTAATGTAGTTTATAATGTTTTACAATGGTGAGCTATTATGGCACTTTATTTTCTACTATTGTTTAGAGTTTCTTCTTATTCTTTTTCTTAATTGCTAAATGGATTCGTCAGATTTATTGTTGTTTTGACAAATTGATGGTTGGGGTTTGTTCCTGATGATATTTGGAGGTTATGTTTCAAATTTGAGCTCATTTGGAGTAGATTTAGGTATTAAATTGTATATTAGATTGTTATAATTCGAAGAACAAATTTTTGTTTTTGGGCAATTTGGCTTTAAGTGCATAAAAACGTTGGTTGCACTTCAGACCTTTTGCCCTAAGTGCATCTAAAGTCCAATTTTTCAATTCAGACTAATTTTTTTAACTTCAGACCCGATAAGTCTGAAGTTGATCGTAAAATGAGTACACTTGCAAACTTTTTTACAAAATGGGTATAGGTTCAATTAGGGGGAAGTGCACGGTTAGCCACTAATAACACATGTATTTACTTTTAAGCCACTGCTTAAAATGTCTTTAGTCTTTAGCCACTGCTTTAATAAACTTTAACTGCCCGGACGAAAATACCCTTCTGGTCATGTCCTTAACGTTTGAACTCAACTTCAGGACTACATGTCCTTAACTTTTGAACTTATAACTCTAAGTTCAGGACTTCAGGACTACATGTCCTTAACTTTTGAACTTTAACTTCCGACTTTAGAACTACATGTCCTTAACTTTTGAACTTGTAACTGTAAGTTCAAGACAAAGTGTCCTTTAACTTTTGAGCTTGTTAGTCTAAGTTCAGGACCTATTGTCCTTAACTTTTGGGCTTCTTAGCCTAAGTTCAGGACCTTTTGTCCTTAACTTTTGAGCTTGTTAGTCTAAGTTCAGGACTTCAGGACCTATTGTCCTTAACCTTTGAACTTGTAACTGTAAGATCATGACCTATTGTCCTTAACTTTTGGGCTCCTTAGCCTAAGTTCAGGACCTATTGTCCTTAACTTTTGAGCTTGTTAGTTTAAGTTCAGGACCAAGTATCCTTAACTTTTGAACTTTGAACTCGAAGTTCAGGACCAAGTGTCCTTAACTTTTGAACTTGTAACTCTAAGTTCAGGACCAAGTGTCCTTAACTTTTGAATTTGTAATTGTATGTTCAGGATCACTAGTTTATTTCCATGTCCATTCACATGTGCACTTCATCAACCAATTCAACTAGCACAGCTACGCAAAAGAATTTAAGAGATGCCATCCATGGTAGTCATATTTAATTTTTTTGGATGACGAAATGCATCAATAAGCAGTGGAATATTTAGGAGTATAATATTTAACAACTCGACACCAAAATTTAAATTAAATAAATCCTTGCTGCAACTTCGAAGCGACATCAGAAGAGTTGACTTCAAGAAATTGTTCCAACGAAGTTTATCCGTAGTTTAAGGAATGCAAAATTCCTCACATAAATGAGAAACCAAAACAACGGGTGCAAGTATAAAGATTTGTAAAGGCAAAAACGAGGCAGCAAAAATAATGTAGAAGAAAGGGTAACACTGCCTTTTCATATTAATTTTAATAGACTAATGGCTACTATTGCTAAATATTAAAGATACTGAATAAAAAGTAAATACCACAAAAAGTGCCTACCCCATAAAATTTTTACGTTCAATTATGACACCAAAACCGGGTATCGATACAAAAGCTTAGTTGAGTCTCATATGACAAAATAAGGCCCACTAGTGCCCAGCTTGTTTTCTGGGAGAATTAGTTGTGAGTGGGTCCAACCTTGACAACATTCGGAGAGTTGAGGCCCACATGTCAAGAGATATTGGACACGTCTCAAGACGAGAAATTAATTGATATCGTGCTAAGGAGAGAAATTCGACTAGGTAGAGAAAACTAGTTGAAAAATGAAACGTCATTTTATACGTGTCATTTTCATGACTCAGCTGCATTTTGTTTCCACACGAGAAAAATGGCACCAAACCCTAACCTCCTTCGCCCTCACTGCGATTTCAAAACCATTCTCCGCCTCATCAGTTTGAACTTGAGATTTTTATTAGATAGACAAATCAGATTACAAATGCAAACAAACAAAATGCAGATATATACTTACACGTATACACACATGTATCATACGTTTCGGGTCAATCCTTCACGAGTTCCTTCCACAGATTACAAAAATACAGTACACTACACACTGAGTAAGAGTTGTTTTGGCTCGCCTCCTATAAATGCCATTGTCTCTCTGTAACGGTTGCACATCTGGGATTGTCAGCGAAGTCGATGGCGATTCCCCCTAGAAATGCAGGCGAAGGTTTTATCCTCTGCTGATTAATTCTTCCTAGTCATCTTCTTGTAAGAAATCTCAGACGTTTTGGCCCAAAGACGCTGTGTGGGAATCAGTTTTGTTGAGATGGCTGATCCTAATTCGTCAGCATCGGGAGAGCCACCTAACGCGCCTGTGCCGGTGGTTGGAGCAATTTCTATACCTGGAAGGCAGCGTTCAATGGAAGATGCGATTTCAGTTAGACCTAATCTTTGCTCGCCCAATCTCAGTCGCGGCCGACCCATTGATTTCTTTGCTGTTTACGATGGACATGGTGGACCTCATGTAAATCCCCACCCCCTACTGTTTTCTCCACCTTTTTTATCATTCACTTTCTTCTTTGACCATTTTGACTTCACTTGATAATTTTCAAACTCCAATTGGCAGATTTCAGTACTAAAACTAGATTAATTATTTAAACTAGTACAATGTAACTTACATTTTTTTTAAACAAATTCATAAACGTTAAAGTTTAACCCTTGATAACCTAAAAGTAACAGATCGTTCTAATAATTGTTAAAAAAATACTTCTTCTATGGAATATACGATATTAACAATCGGCGTAAAGTAAGTTAAAACAAGGAAACGTGAAAAAAAAAATACAAAGAAATGAGCATCCCAACATTAAAGAACTGGAGCGAATAGGGAATATTAAAATTTTAAGTAGAAGTAATTGAAAGATTGTTATTTTGGTGATGCAGGCAGCTGCGCTGTGTAGAGATAGGATGTACTTGATACTACAAGAAGAGCTAATGCTGGTGCGAACAACCGTAGACATGAGTAGCGGCAGCAGCAGCGGCAGCGGCATCTCTCGCCGGGGAAGACGAGAACGATTGGAAAGGCAGAGGGTTACGGAGGCATGGAAAAGAGTGCTGCGGCGATGTTTCCATAGGATAGACGAGATGGCTTTATTCACTTGCTGCGAGTGTGGTACAGGTACCCCATGCGGCTGCCCACCCAACACCTTGGGAATGGCGGGCTCCACCGCTGTGATGGCAGTCGTGACGGAGGAAACTATAATAGTAGCCAACTGTGGTGACTCACGCGCCGTCCTTAGCCGTGGTGGAAGGGCCATCCCTCTTTCTTTTGATCATAAGGTATTATATTACGTCTCATTTCATAGGACAGAATTTTAGTTAGAGTATTTTAATAAGTTTCAGCTCGCACAAGATAGGAACGAAATTATTCTGAACCTAAAATGTCAGCATCAGGGCCACAGGCTGTCAAAGTACATGAAACTTTAATTTTATATACGCTTTAAATTGTACTTCATTGAAGTTTTCAATATTATTAAATATTCTCTAACATGTTTTTTGTAATAATATAAACGAGAAAGAAGCTCCCTTCACCCTGTATAGCAAGGTAAAACATATTTAATTGAGCTAGGTTTCACGTCAACAGGAGTATATATATGTATTTTTGGGTAATAGTTCTCCTTCTAAATTGTAAATATGTGCTCTTTGATTATAGTATCATATCATAGGCAAATTCATGATTTAAACATAATGGGCTGAACCCTTCAAGATTTTTACTACTGAACTTATTTTACCGTTAAAATTATGAGTTCAGATCTACTAATATTTTTTGAAATTTTAGTAACATACATATCTATCTTCTGGGTAAAAATTTGGGCTCCTTCCGCCTCATAATATCACATCTTGAGTCATAGGTTTTCTTTACATGGCACTTTATTTACAACTTCCCCTCTTTTATTACCATATATACGTTAATTGAGTTTACTTCCACTTATTGAGGTTACTGCTAATGCATCTAAACATGAATTTCTGTCACACTTAAACCCATTAGGTTAATACCCATCTTGTATTCATTCAAATTAAAGAGAATACGATTATAAGTAGAATGCTACACTATATTTTGTTAATATTCTTCTCTTCAGTTAACATCTCATTTCTTCCTTCTTTCCTCTTTTTGGACATAGCAAACAGCTAGTATTATTTCCACTCCATTCATCTGTGTGGTGGCTCACCTTTTTTTATGTGCGTTGAGAATATGATTTTACTGCACTCTCATAAGAATTAAATAGAAAAACTCTTTTGGCATACTTCTTTCTCTCTGAATAACGCTCATATATCACATTTTATTAATGCACACACATAGAGCACAGTTGTTCAAAACTTAAGCTTACAACTCATCATGGTCCTCTTAAGTTCTCATAAATCAAGCCAATTGCATATTATGATTTTTCCTATTAATTCAAGTTTGCTACTTAACTTGGAAGGCCCAAAATTACAAAATTAAACCAATAAACTTCAAATAGGAATTCAGGCTCTTAGCATTTTTGTGCTTCGAAACCAGCCCAAGAGTGAGGAACTGCAGTCAGCTTTTATGAGAGGTTGTTCAGTCATTGGGCCTCTGCACAGGCCCAAATGGGAGGGTGAACTAGGACTAGGACCTTGAATGGAGATCCCGACAGCCTCACGACTTAACAGGCTAACTGATTTAGTGGGTTAATAATATTGGAGCCTGTATTATCTAACTGGGCCTGATGAGGGGCCCATATTTAGTGTTTGGGATTTTACGGAGCTATCCGTGTACAAGCCTCAGGGTGTAAAGCTGATTACCATATTTGGGGCCTCTGAACAGGCCCAACTCAATTATCTGGTAGTTCATTGTTGGCCCAGGCGTAAAATCAGACTTTGAATTTTAGTATCCTCCTTTGAGTTCTAAACTATCGCAGGAAATAATTACCCTCAGAAGCTAAACAATTTAATCTAAGTACGATAGTTAAACAACTATAAGGACTAAAATGATTTAGAATAACTGGACATATTAAACAACTAAACAACTAGACTATTCATATTTCCTAAACTGTATATGTGTCAAAGCAAGCAAATAAAATGCTTCAGTTTACATGCTGATTTTAAGTTTAAATTTCAGGCTTGTATTTAAGAGCCTGTTTGGATGGGCTTGTTTTAAGTGACTTTTAAGCCAAAATANTTGGGCTCCTTCCGCCTCATAATATCACATCTTGAGTCATAGGTTTTCTTTACATGGCACTTTATTTACAACTTCCCCTCTTTTATTACCATATATACGTTAATTGAGTTTACTTCCACTTATTGAGGTTACTGCTAATGCATCTAAACATGAATTTCTGTCACACTTAAACCCATTAGGTTAATACCCATCTTGTATTCATTCAAATTAAAGAGAATACGATTATAAGTAGAATGCTACACTATATTTTGTTAATATTCTTCTCTTCAGTTAACATCTCATTTCTTCCTTCTTTCCTCTTTTTGGACATAGCAAACAGCTAGTATTATTTCCACTCCATTCATCTGTGTGGTGGCTCACCTTTTTTTATGTGCGTTGAGAATATGATTTTACTGCACTCTCATAAGAATTAAATAGAAAAACTCTTTTGGCATACTTCTTTCTCTCTGAATAACGCTCATATATCACATTTTATTAATGCACACACATAGAGCACAGTTGTTCAAAACTTAAGCTTACAACTCATCATGGTCCTCTTAAGTTCTCATAAATCAAGCCAATTGCATATTATGATTTTTCCTAAATGAGTAAATGCATATTAAGACTTTATGAAGAATGAAATAGACAAAAACATCAACTGTTTGTCCTTTATTTCTTTTGCCTACTCCCTTCTGTGCCTTTCTCTAAAAGTACACTCTCATATGTGAAGTCATATATGACATTATTTCAATGCACATTACATCGAATTATTCGGAACATTTAAGTACAACTCCGTTCCCCTTTTAAGTACTCATGAATCAAGCTAAAATGCATAGTCACATATAAGATTAAGACGTGCATTAGTGCTGCATATTGTTGTAAATGTTGAATTATATAAGTATAAGTTATAACACGCCTTATTTGATCCCCTTTTAACTACTCATGAATCAAGCTAAAATGCATAGTCACATATAAAATTAAGACGTGCATTAGTGCTGCATATTGTTGTAAATGTTCAATTATATAATTATAAGTTATAACACGCCTTATTCCACTTAAGTACTCAAATCTACATTCTCTTTGGTCTTTTAATCATAGAGCACGCTAAATAGTTAGTGCAACTAAGCAGCCATGTAACAAGAGAGCTGTAAATGTAATTAGAGGTTTCTTAGTTGATGGTTGAGGATCGATGTCAGACATGATTTACTGCTTGTATTCTCCTGTTGAAGTTCCAAATGTAGGTGTGGAGTAGCCAATTATTTTTAGCTTCAGTGCTGACATAGAGAACATTCTATAACATCATGTAAAAAATGATTTTCCTCACTAAAACTAACTTGACTTTCTGTTGCAGCCAGACAGACAAGACGAGCGTGCTAGAATAGAGTCATGTGGAGGCCGAGTTCTTTTTGCAGATTGTCCACGAGTTCAAGGAATTCTCGCCATGTCTAGGGCAATAGGTAACTTGTTTTCCCATTTGCAGTAACCTGCTTCTCTATGCAATGACATTAGTGCAGTTGTCAATTTAAATATACTTGTTTCCATAAAATCAGTCTAAGGAAATTGACGTAAAAACTGTACCTTCCCTTTAATTTCAAGGGTTGGAATGCAGATTGCCTCTAGTATTGGCAGGTACTATTCCTTCTTCAGTTAGCGATATTTACTCCTCTATAGGAACAACTGCAACCCTATGATGAGTAGCAGTTGAGCTAAGAAAAGCCTTAACTGGTTTCTAACCTACAATTAAGGGCACATATCTTGTGTCATCCCTGAACAAAAAGATTGGCGACAAAGAACACTGATTATCTATTAATGGTTGTGCTTAGTGGGGCTAAATCACTATTATGGAAGTTAAAAGTGTCATCTCATCCTAACTTCTTGTGGAAGAAAACGATCAGTTCTAGTAAAAAGAGGATGTCCAGATTAAATGAATTCCCAGGCAATGTAACCATCATCCATTTTAGGGTCTGTATCTTTTCCATGGTATGAAATAGGGACCGATCAAAGTTTATAGCACGTTCCATACTTAGGGTTTTACGTTGGAACGTGCATGGTGTGCATGTAGGCAGAATGCTGTTCGTCCACGCATTAACTGCCGCTTATAAGACGACAAATCAGAAACAAAATTCAGTAAGTTTGGTTGGACATCTTTCGAGTTGCCATTTATGCATCAAGTTGATCAGCGGCTTCCCTGTAAGGTTAGTGATGGTTCAGGAAGATAAGTTATGTTGCCATAAATGGATGTATACCTCTTTCTTTGATGCTCGTCAATGCTGTATCTTTGATGGAACAATTTACTAGAGGGGTATAACAGTGATATAACCTAATTCTTTGGTCGACTTTCCCCTGCATTATCTCCTTGTTAGAATGTTGTAATATGTAAAACCCCACCATAGCAGGGGAAGTTGTAAAGAAGCAAAAAATCATCTCAACGACTAAAAGACTGATTTTGCTGCAAATTTTATTGCTAATGATGTTTTCATATGCTAAGGTTTGTCATTCTTTCCACCCATGGACTTTTTCCCAAAGAGGTATGCTGATTATTTGACGCTTCCTTTCTCTGTTCTTTTCTTTTATTTCTTAACTGTTTACTAACAATATTTGCATAAAACTTGTACAGAGGTGTAGTTGTTGAATGCTATGAGCCTGTAATGCTAATCGGGTCCAGCTTTTTGTATTACCCTAACAGTACTATCTTAGTATTGTATATCAATAAAAACTTACCTTATAAAAAAAAAAGTGCAGTTTTTGTCATGTGATAGTGGAACAGGACCTATAATCATTAATTAAATTGCATCTGGTAGGGGATAGTATAATTGGAATGCTTTAAGTCTAAATAGTAACATGCATCGTCGGTATTGCACAAACCATTTTTCCTTTCATTAACATTTTTATTAGTCTCATAGACATAAGAGTTGGAGAATGCAAAATGACCAGATCTACATGAGAAGTTGCAGTCCATTATTTCTTCCGGAACCTGCTTCACATTTTTCCTGTAATGTGGATCTGTATCCTTACCCCTCTGGAAGTATATCAGATTTTTGAGCTTATCTGAAATGTCTGGTTTTTTTCGGACTGGCTCTGTTACTGTTATCTGGCATTGTTACACATTTACGCTCCCAGTATAGCTCTCTAAATATGTTACTTCTCTAGTCACAGTTGAATGCTCTCTCTCTCTCTCTCTCTCTCTCTCTCTCTCTCTCTCTCTCTCTCTCTCTTTCTCTCTCTCATACACTCACATTGTTTAGAGTACATTTTTCTGATTGTATGGTTTATGTACTAGTTCATTATTGACATACTACTTATCAGGATAGAGATTTAATTAAAAATGGATTATTGAATATTCCTTGTTTTATTTCTCATTGCAAACAGGAGACAAGTATCTAAAGCCATATGTGACATCCGAGCCTGAGATTACCTTCACAAAAAGGGAAGCAGAGGATGAGTGCCTGATTCTTGCCAGTGATGGATTGTGGGACGTCATATCAACTGAAATGGCGTGTGAGGTGGCTAGAGAGTGTCTTCGAGAAGAAAATCCAACTGGGAACCATAGTTTCAGGCCTTGGGTCGAAGGTGATGGTGAAGGAGCAATAATTTCTTCCCAAAGTGCATCAGCAGCAGCGCTGCTTACTCGGCTTGCTCTGGGCCGTAATAGTTATGATAACATCAGTGTAATTGTGGTTGATTTGAAGAGAAATTATGCTGGACGATAGTTTCAGCACAAGGTAACTTCTTGAATTGAACTTATTGGATAGTATATCCATCCAACCAAGGGGAACATTTAGAGATGGTTTATTAACCTTTTTCTTAAGACAGTGATCAGTGCTTAAATTAATGACTTCTATTTGGTTCTTCTCTTCTTTTTCCATTATCAAGTGGTCTTGTAGATGATGAATGATGTGATAGAAAAGTTGACCGTACATGTTAATATCTGATTGGACAACTTAGTCAGCCAAGACGTAATGCCAACTACATTTTTTCATTGCCATTGGGATTGGGTTTCCCAAACTAACCTCTACATGCGCTTTGATCCCGGTAGCACCTATATGACTTGCAGATAGAATATGTACTGGCATTTTTCCTTTGTAACTCGTAGATGTAGAATTAACCCTTAGACATCAGGATCTTAGTGACAATCTATTGGACCTTAAGGGGTGTGATCTAAAGGGGTGTGATCTAGACTGTCTATCCTAACTTAAGCGTTAGTGTCTGTTGTCACGACTCGAACCCGTGACCTATAGCTCACACAGAGACAAAAGACAACTTTATTGTTGCTCCAAGTCTCCCTTCATATAGTTTCATGTGTGAGAATCTTATTAAAATTACTTCCGTTTCCGCTGATTTTGTATTGTTGTATATGGAAAAGTAGCCTCGTGGGCACCAAGCTTGCACGGAATTTTGGATTCGGAATGCAGTAAAAGGCTAACCCAAAAATTGGTTGGATTTTCATTATTCAGTATCCAAAATCCAAAATCCAAAGCCGTGCTTAGTATAAGAATAAGGTTTCTTGTGGAATGGCAACCCATAATTTCTTTAATGATACTGTATGAAAATATGCATGATCTGAAAATTACATGAAAATATCAATCTATCATCAGAACAATCAGAAATTGAACATAATTTCTCATTGTTAGATTAAAGAGGAAATATAACGGGACTAAACTTTTTTTTTTGGTAATTAAAGATTTTATTTACCAAGTATAAGTATTACACTATATCAAAATTTAAGACTTTCTATCAAACTCCTGCTGGACATGAAGCCCAGCTAGGATATATCTATCCTTACTACAATCTTCTCCTACTGCTTCTTCAATTTAAACTCTAACTGGGTACCAGTTCAGAGCATTCAAACATCTATCTAGCCTCGGAAACAACTTTGCTCTAATATGTATTTCTTGGATGATCGGTCTGATAATAGCATTTGCGTTGCTCTTCTTCGTTTGGAAGTTGGCATTATTCCTTGCTTGCCAAATGTGATAGACTGCTGCTGCTAGCACCATTCTGCAAATTGCTCTTCCTGAACGGTTCCCTTTAGCCACCCTTTCTATCCACTTTAGTTCTTTCTGCCAATCTTTTTTAGTTCTCTTAATGCCTTGCTAGTGTAAAAGAGTCTACCATATAGTTGCTGGCATCTCATAATCAAAAAACAAGTGTTGTACAGTTTCATTTTCTCTTTGACAAAGTGAGCATGTCTTGTCTTCTATGGTCCCCCGTCTTGCTAACCTTTCTTTCATAGCTAACATTTCTTGTATAGCAAACATTAGTATGAATTTCCACTTTGGGAGTCCATGGTTATTGTATACTAATTTCCTCTATGACCCCTTCTGAAATTCCCCTTGCATTGATTTGTACATGTGCTTCACAGAGAACTTCTCTATCTTGGTCACCTCCTCTTCTATATAACCAGCATCCTCAAAGTGTCTTTTTGCCTTGAAAATATTTTGGATAACCCACGATGCACTCTTTGGTTCTGTGTTCCATATAGTTCCCCCCTTTATGTAGTAAGCATGTATCCACTGGACCCACAACTTTTCCTTCCTTGTGCAAATGTTCCATAAGAGCTTGCATATAGCTGCATTGCAGTTCCACATTGATGAAGTTTAGACATCCTGCTACCTTTAGAGCACACAGTTTATCCCAGGCAATCAGTGCCTTCTGAGTAGGTTCAGCACTCCCCGACCATAAGAATCTCCTGCATATTGTTTCTATGAACTGCATGATCTTTTTTGGCAGAATAAAAATTTAAGTCCAGAATATCTGAATTGCCTGTAATACACTTTTGGTAAGCATTGCTCTGCCTGCATATGCCAAAAACTTTGTTGTCCAACATTGGATCCTGTTCAACATTCTATCAATTAGAGGTTCATATTGCATAGCTGTCAGTCTTTTTATGCTCAAAGGGACTCCTAGGTACCTGAAAGGTAAATCTCCTTTAGTGTATCCTAACATATCCATAATATGTTGTTGTGTCCTGTTGTCCACTCCTCCAAAGTAGATGTTGCTCTTATTTGAATTTGCAATTAGGCCTGATGCTGCAGAGAAAGTTTAAAACTGTTTGTGCAGAATCTTGACTGATTGTATGTCTCCTTTACAGAACAATAATAAGTCATCAGCAAATCGCAATTGTACTAAGTTGACTTTAGCACATTTTGGGTGAAATTTGAATTCCTTATTCTCCTTCAGTGGTTTCAGTAGTCTGCATAGATACTCCATGGCCATCACAAATAGCAGGGATGATAAAAGGGTCCCTTGTCTAAGTCCTTTTCTTGCCTCAAATGGCTTGGTTGTCTTGCAATTGATTATAACAGAATAAGCAACTGTGCTAATACACACCATTATCCACTTCACCAATTTTTCAGGAAATCCCAGCAACTTCATCACCTGTTCAATATAGACCCATTCCACATAATCATAAGCTTTTTGCATATCGATCTCCAGCATACATCTTGGTGATATGTTCTTCCTCCCGTATCCTTTAACCAATTCATGGCTCATAATGATGTTATCTGTAATCATTCTTCCTGGCACAAAGGTTGTTTGGCAGTTATCAATTAGGTCTGGCATAGCTACCTGCAGTCTTGTTGTCAGAATTTTTGAGATTATCTTATAAAGAACAGTGCAATATGATATAGGCCTGAACTCCTCTGGTTGGGTTTTTTACTTTAGGAATCAGTGTAATGGTGGTGCAGTTGATGGCTTTACACATTTCTGCATTTTCAAAGAACTCCATCACTGCTTCATTAATCTCATCACCTAGAATATGCCATGTCTTCTTAAAGAAAAATGAATTTTATCCATCACATCTCGGTGCTTTTCTATAATCAATGTCCTGTATTGCTTTCTTTACTTCCTCTCTTGCGACTGGCTTTATTAGCTGTAATTGTTGTTGCCTGCTCAACATATAGCCTTCTTGCATGATTTCTGAGTTGACTGCTGACAGTTGTGAAGCTGCTGTGCCAAGTAACTTCTTGTAGAAGTTCAGTATTTCCTCTTCCACTTCATTTGTATTCTGGATTATTTGCCCTGTACTGCTGACTAGTCTTCCAATATGATTTGTTGCTTGCCTATTTTTCACACATGCATGGAAGTATGATGTGTTTGAATCCCCTAATTTGAGCCATTGGACTCTTGATTTCTGCTTCAAAACACTCTCCTCCACCTCTAGTCATTTAGCCAATTCAAATTTTGCATCCTTTTCTTGTGTTATTGTCTCATTGTCAGTTCCTGGACCTAGCATTTCAGCCTGTATGCCATCCAGTTTTATTCTTGCTGCTTGAATCTTGTGCCCATTATTGCTAAATTCTTGACTATTCAGCTGCTTCAGATCTCCCTTTAGCCTTTTGAGTTTATTCCATACCTTTAATATTGCATTTCCTTTTTGCCTCCTTGTCCAGCATTGCTTAACTGTGTCCTCAAAGTCTTTGTGATTTGCTAGGCAGTTTAGAAACTTGAAAAGTCGCCTTCCTACTTGATTAGTGTCATCAAACATTATGCTCAAAGAGTAGTGACCAGAAAATCCAGGATTCATTATAATCCCCTCCATTACAGGCCATTTTTGAATCCACTCTGCATTTACAAGAATTCTATCAATTCGACTATGGACATGATTGTTTGTCCAAGTGCACTTTCTACCCACAGTTCTAAGTTCATCTTGTCCATCATCCATTATGAAGTTTTTGAAATCTCTCACCTCAATCTCTTGTACTGCATTCCCCAGCACTCTATCCTCACTAGATAAAATAGTATTAAAATCTCCCATTATTAAGCTCGGTCCACTGATTCCAGCCATAGTTCTCCTTAGGTCCTCCCATAGTGCCTTCCTATCTTGTATGATATGCAGTCCATACACAGCTCCAAAGTTAAACTTGGTTCTGTTCTGGTTTATGGTCACCTGTCATACAATATATTGTTTATGTACTTGATATACCTTCAACTCCACCTTTGTTTGATCCCATACTACCCATATTCTGCATCCTAGAGCTTTATCATAATTTGCTTGTCCATTTCCAGTTGTTGAACACCTTTTTGAATATTGAATCAGCAGTAGGACTCTATTATCTAGAATAGCCATTAGTACGACATTATTCTCTCTACTAAATTTTTTGAATTCTTTTTGCATATATACTTTATTCAAGCCCCTAACATTCCATGATATGATACTCATCATCATATAGTAGTCATAGTATATTCACCACCTCTTCGCCTTCCCCCAGGCTGCCCTCTTTTCTCTTGAGTTTCAGAAAGTTGCATAATCTTTAGTGTTGTATCAACTAGAGCTTTGAAGGCATTGTCAATGTTTACCTCATTCTCATTGACAGCTCCCATGCTCTCTTTTATGCGTATTTGCCCCTAGCCAGTTGCAATTGCTCATCATTTTCCTGCTTGCTCTGCACCTCATCACCTTCTGGTTCCACTTGATCCAGAAATCTACCATGTGTGTCAATTTTATCCACCTAAGGATCAAGCACCCTCACTATTCTCAATTCTTGTTTCTGCTTTTGTTCCGGACCTCTTTGTTTTCCTCCCTCATGGTCTGCTTCTGTTGGTCTTTACATAAATGTCCTAGTTGACAGCATGTCTGACAATACTGAGGCTTCCAATCATAATGTACTAGCTGTTCAATCACTTTTCCTTTGGGATCATACAGTTTAATAGATCCTGGTAGTGGCCTAGTAATATCCATTTCAATTAACACCCTAGCATACGATATTCTATCAGCCACTGTGGTACATGCATCAACATAAGGGCTTAACAGACCGCTCCCAATTTTGCTTAGTGCTTGGTTGCTCCAGTAGTTCGGTGGTAGCTTAGGGAATTT